CCCACCTTCCCCCCCTTTGTCCCGTCCTCTTTACCTCTATACTCCGGCGTGAACTCGGCCAGAGCCGGCGGCAGCGTCCTGTAGACAAAGTGTTCGCGGGCAATGAGCGGCTTGCACACGGTACTGCTGTCGTACCAAAGCATGGACGACTGGCCGGCGACTTGGTGCCCAAACGGAGCCAGGAGTTGTTTGCCTGGGGCAGGCTGCCATTGCATGGTGCTGGCGGTACGGGCAATGTTGGAGGACTTTGGGTGGGAGTAAGAGTGAAAAAGGTGGGGAAGAAGGAAGAGGGGGGTGGGGGTGTCTAGGGTCTTTGGCTCTGGTCTTTCTTGACTGATTTATCCGTGTATTTATTAGTTTGTTTAATGACGCGTTTTTTTTATATACACTATATTACATATTTACTTATATTATGTGCTTTGTATATGGCTCTGGTCTTTATTGACTTATTTATTTGTATATATTTATTTACTGGTTGTTTGATGCTGGTTTTCTGTTTACACTTTCTTACATATTTACCTCTGTACTTTGATCTTATTTACGTGTTCATTTATTAATTTGTTGCCGTTTATTTTCTTTAAAAATACTTTATTACATATTTACTTACTTATACTTTTTTCTCCTTGAAATGTTATTATAAGTTGTAATACTGAGTTTTGACTCATGTCTTTATTGCCTTACTTAATATGTATATTTACCAGGTTTTGGGTTTTTTTTCCAACACTTTATAACTTGTTTGCTTGTGCACTTTTTACTTCTTAAAAATGTTATAGTGGGTTTGTTATACTGAAGGCTCTGCTCTGGTCTATATTGACTTGCTTACATATGTATTTATTTGTTAGTTGTCTGTAGTCGTTATTTTAACACTAATTACATATAATTTATTTATGCACTTTTTTCTTCCTAAAATATTGTGGTGAAAGTTGGAAAAGGGGAGAGGTGGGGGTAAAGGGTTGGGGTGGAAGGGAATGACAACTACGTCAGGGGTGAGTCAGAGGGTGTGGAAGGGAGGGGGGGTGGGGGGTGACTAAGATCCCGTACTTCTTGGGGGGAGCTGTGATAATAAGGATGGGGGAGGGGTGGTGAATTAAAAGGCAACTATCTCAAAGCATTTAATTTGTCAATTCATTCGTCCTTCTGCCGTTTCTCAACTCATCCTACACCTGTCTAGAAGTACAGGAGTAGGGGTTTGTGGTGCACGGAGAACATGGGGAAAGGTGTTGCCATGGCAGGAAGGATGGGAAGAGAACGTCCTCTTGTACGAGCAAGGCCAGGGGTGTGAGGGTTGAGGTCTATCGTTGTTTCTTGTTTCCTAAGTCCTTCATCTGAGGAAGAGAAAGAGAGTGTGTGTGTTTTAAAAAAAAGTTTTAGTAAAAAAGGATTACGTTTAGTTTTAGTAAGAGTTTTATGGCACTTGCAACACAACAAGGTCATGTAAGTGCCGAAGATTAGAGGCGTTACAAGAGAGTAACAAACATAAAACAGAAGGTGGACAGAACAGGACGATAAACATTTGATAGGAAAGAAGGAGCAAACCATACCAGAGCACCCGCCAACCACCCACAAAAGTATTACGGCATTTGAAACACAAATAGGTCAGACAAGTAGCGAAATTAGACGTGTAACTAGAGAGTTAATCACAGTAATACACACATAAAAGGAGGGGGAGAGATAAGGACGATATATGTTAGATAAAAAAACCGCACCAGAGCGCCCATTAATACTCACAAGAGAGAGAGAGAGAGAGAGAGAGAGAGAGAGAGAGAGAGAGAGGAGGTTGATAACGGTAAGACACATAATCAATATATCTGATTACAAATGAATACCCTGCTTTATGACCCATCGACAAGAGTGGACCAATTAGGAAGCGGGCGAGTTCGATTCTGTCTGCCAGGGCTGACCCAGTCTGAGGTTAATTGTTGGTGTTTTTTACGCCCCCATCGACACAGTTCTGATCAATAAGGAGGCAGGCTTGGTCCGTGCCTGCCAGAGCCAGCCTAGACTGAGAGAGATACAACGTCTCAGCAGAACTCCCCCCGCCCTCCCCTTCCCTGGAGATTACTCGATACAAAACCAGTCCCCAAACATAATTTAAACTCACACCACAGGCGTCAGTAACGAAATTTGTAAGGGTAAAGCACCTAAAATATCGTTGATTATAATAAAGGCCTATATGATTTAAATGTTTTACGATCCTATTAACAAAATTAGATAATTTAGTAGGCGGGCTGGCTCGATTATACCTTAAGGGCTTTATACCTGGCCTGTGTAGGATACAGCATCCCAGAAGAAAGACATAGATAGAAGGCTCTTGGGAATTGAACCCGCGTCTCTAGGTGCAACAACAACAGAGAGTTTTAATATTCCACAACAGGCATTGGCCTATCGGGCCGTTAAAACAGTGCATTTGCTCATGAGTTGTCATTTAGGACAAGTCAGTTTCAGAAAGGCCACATGCCGCATAGCACCACGAACAGACACTGTCGTTCGAGTGTCAGTTGGAGAAAAGGTAGGCACATCGACAAAATGACGTTTGTTTAGGGCAAAAAAAATGGGGGGGGGGGGGGGCATAGAAGACAGACAGAAACAACAGGGGGACAGGAAAGACGTAGCACCTGCCAGTGGCACCCTCCATCCACCAGCCAGGAACAGGGTAGGCCTAACTAAGGAGAAAGAAACACCCAATAATGCAAAAAAGACAGGAGCAGAATATGCCCTTTAAAAACCCGCACTTAAAACAGACTGACAGACTTCAAAATCAATCATGTAAATGCCCAAAATACGAGGTGTTACAAGAAAGTAACCAACAAAAAATGAGGAGGAGAGATAAGGACGATAGATCATGTTTGTTAGGAAAGAAGGAGCAAACCGCATAAGAACACCCGCCAACCACCCACAGGGGTAAGACCACAGCAGAGTACGCCCATTAAATGTTGAACACCTGCATGTCAACAGCGCTTAGCAAAACAAATTACTTTATATTTAATTATAATGAACACTTAAGAGTTGAGAGGCAAAACCCTTCAATCAGAAGTGATTTCCGTATATTGTTAAATGCAATCTGAATGTTTCACGACCCGCATCGAAACAATTCAAACTATTTCGGGAGTGGGGGCCGTTCCGAATCTTTAGTTTTAGTAGACGTTTTATGGCGCTCGCAACTGCATAAGGTCATATGAGCGCCAGGAGATTAGAGGTGTTACAAGAGAGTAACAAACATAAAAAAGAAAAAGGGGAGATAAGGATGATAGATGTTTGATAGGAAAGAAGAAGCAAACCACACCAGAGCACCCGCCAACCACTCACGTTCCGAACCTGCCTGTCACGGTATACAGGCCGGATGGGATACAGTTTGCAAGAGGAATTACGGGAATTTTTATAGTTTGTTTAAAGTTTTAATAGGAGTTTTTACGGCACTTGCAACACAATCATGCCATGCAGGTTAAAAAAAAGATTAGAGGTATTACTAGGGAGTAACATACAAAGAAAAAAAGGAGGAGAGATAAGGTCGATAGATGTTTGAAAGGGGGAAAAAAGAGCAAACCACACCAGATCACCCGCGAACTGCCCACCTACAATGTCAAAAAAAAATGGCAGAACGTAGAAGGATCGGAGCAAGCCCATTACACACCTGCTTTCAAACAGCCCTCAACAAAACAGAATACTTTAGATTACAACGAATACTTGAGAGGAAACGACCCTTGATCGAAAGAGAATTCCATATTGCAATTCGAACTGCTAGCGTTTCCCGTCCCCGTCCAAACAAGATAAATCATTTATGAGGTAGGCTGGTTTAATCCTGCATGCAAGACAAACAAGACAAACAAAACTCCAGAGAACTTTCCCACTCTTGAATCCAACGCATATCTTCTTCCTGCAACAACACCGACGCCGGTGTAAATCCCTTAAATCTTTGATAATTCTAACAATACATGCCGCAGAAATCAATATCAGACACCCACCACTACAGCAACATCAACAATAGTAGACAATCACCACCAAAACAGCAACAACAACTAAAACAACAACAGTGTTAGAAACTCACCACCACCACAATCACCACCACCACAAAAACAACAACAACAACAACAGCAACAGTGTCAGAAAAATACCACAATTAAAACAAAAGGGTCAGAGAACCACCACTACAACAAGACCAACAACAATGTAAGAGAACAGCAGCTACAACAACAAAAACAATGCCAGAGAACCAACACTGCAACAACAACAATACCAGACAAGCACCATCTTAGTTTTAGTAGAGGTATTATGGCGCTCGGAACTGCATAAGGTCATATGAGCGCCAGAAGATTAGAGGTGTTACAAGAGTGTCACAAACATAAAAAGACAATAATAATGGTCATTTACTCATTTAGCACATGGACCAAACAAGACGGACAGACAGAAACAACAAATGGCGAAACAAAGTTGTAGGACCTACCAATAGCGCCCGCCAACAACCCACCATGGTTCACAGGAAGGGAAACCAGAGAAGATACGGTACACTCCACAAAGGAAAAAAAAATTACTCCACGAAAGAACACACCCTCTCATTGGTTCCAGTATTTGCCAATGTGAGCCATACTGCACACTTGTGGGCCATTTTGTAACTTTGGTGGTGGGTGTTGGTAATCACACAAATAGTGACAAATGTCATTAACTGCACTGCTTAGAAATTGATTTTATTTGATGCGGAACAAACATTTTAGCGTCTTGAAGGTTGCAAAAGTGGGCGCAGACTTTTAAAAGATTGACAAGCACTGCTGTTACATACAATCATACTTTCAAAAGTATGGGCACACAACACACTGGGCATTCCTTCTCCCCAAAGCAGCATATCGTGTAAAATCGTAGTAAGCTGCCAGTTCTTCAATAATTCATCAAACGTATTGTATAACAACCACAACCTCCCTCTATCGGAACGCAATGGAGAAAGTCAAGGACAGATAAGCCAACAAAAAAAAAATACCCCTCCCCAAAAAAAAGGAAATTGAAAAGAAAAAATAATACAATGTAAAAACCCATTAACCAAACAAAATAATCAAAGGGAAGCCAGTCATCGCCTGAGCAGGTACGAAGAAAAGCTAACAGCAAACAACAGGCGAGGACTTCATTGAAGACGTCGAGGGACATGCCAGGGTACATTGTACACTGAACATACAAAAAGGGGGGG